TAAATAAATGTAATTTTTTTGTGATCTTTTTGAGACAGGGTCTCCCTGTAGCCCCAGCTGTCCTGGAACTCACTATGTAGACCAGGCTGGCCTTGAACTCACAGAGATCTGTCTGCCTCTGCCTCCCAAGTGCTGGGATTAAAGGTGTGCGCCACCACGCCCAGCTAAATAAATGTAATTTTTAAAAAAGCCTCAAAGCTCAGAACTGACCACCAATAACCTTTTTCTTAATGTGAAACTTCCAGTCATCAAGAAAGCAGTCTGGGGCTGGGCATGGTAGTACACCTTTAAACCCAGCACTTAGAAAGCAGAGGCAGGCAGATCTCTGTGAGTTCAAGGCCAGTCTGGTCTACATAGTGAGTTCCAGGCCAGCTGGGGCTACAGGGAGACCCTGTCTCAAAAAGACCAAAAAAAAAAAAAAAGTTCTAAATTGGCCATCTCCCAGTTACATGGCCCTTGTGGCACTAACCTGAGGCTGTTCTAATCATCATGTTCTCCACCTTAAAATGAAGACCACAAAAACACCTGCAGTACAATCCAACACTCATGGGCTATGTAGCCTGCCCACCACTGCCCTGAAGAGTACAGCCTATCCCAGATCACAGCCTGGAGTCCAGGATGCCCAGCCCTGCTGGAGTTTGCTCTGAGCCATCCCCACAGAGGCTGACACCAAAAGGTCAGGAGCCAAGATGATAGGAGAGGAGAGAACCAGGCTCACTGGAGAGCCCACACCCTCCAGATTGAGGGGACGGACAGCCAGGACTGGATGAGGGCCCAGAGTTTCCAAAGGATGGGAATCTGGGTCTGGATGGGAAGCAGCCACATTCTTTAATGTTGGAAACTAAACCAAATTACAAAAACAAAACCCAAAACTGCTGCATGAACTTAGCAGTACGCCTCTCTTCCTCCTGTTTTTCTTTCCTTCTTTTTTTTCTCTCTTTTTTGTTTTAAGACCACACTGGCCTTGAGCTCACAGAGATCTACCTGCCTTTGCCTCCTGAGGGCTAGATTAAAGGTATGTAGTACCACACCTGTTTTTCTTTTTTTTTAAGATTTAATTCATTTGACACGGGGGTCTCTCTGTGTAGCCCTGGCTGGCCTGAACCTCACTATATAGACTAGGTTGGCTCCAAACTTTCAGTGATCTGCCTGCCTCTGCCTCCCAAGTACTGGGATTAAAGGCATGTACCATCATACCTAGCCTAGATTTGTTTTTTAATTTTTTTTTACTTTTTTGAGACAGGGTCTCCCTGTAGCCCCAGCTGGCCTGGAACTCACTATGTAGAACAGGCTAGCCTTGATCTCATAAAGATCTGCCTGTCTCTGTCTCCCAAGTGCTGGGATTAAAGGCATGTACCACCATGTCCGGTTTACATTTATTTTATTTTTAATTATGTGTGTGTGTGCATGTGTGTGCCTATGGGTTTGTGTAATGTAGGTGTGAATGCAGGTGCCCAAGGAGGGCATTGGATCCCCTGGAGCTGGAGTTATAGGCAGTTGTGAACCACCTGATACGGGTGTTGGGAGCCAGCAAGATCAGATATGCTCTTAACCTGTAAGCCATCTTTCCAGCCCTCTTTTTTTCTTTGAGGTGGGGTCCACTCTGTAATCCAGGCTGACCTGGACTTCACTATGTAGCTCAGGCTGACTTCAAACTCATGGCAATCCTCCTGTTTCAGCTCTGAAGTGCTAGAAATACAGATGTGAGTTACCTTACCCAGTCCTTCCTCTCTCTCTCTCTTTTTTTTTTTGGTCTTTTTGAGGCAGGGTCTCCCTGTAGCTCCAGCTGTCCTGGAACTCACTATGTAGACCAGGATGGCCTTGAACTCACAGAGATCCCCCTGCTTCTGCCTCCAGAGTGCTGGGATTAAAGGTGTGTGCCACCACGCCCGGCCCCTGTTTGCCCAACTGCAAAAACTGACCTGGGTGGCTGTCTCTGTCTTTGTCTCTGTCTCTGTCTCTCCACCTCTCTCTTTGTCTCTGTCTCTCTCTGTCTCTCTCTTCCTTTGTAGGGAGAGTCTCCAGCTCTTCTTTGTAGGTGACTTCAAAGATAAGCTCAACTACCACCTCCTCCAGGAAGTTTTCCTTGATTTATCCTCAAATGGAAGTTCTTCCTCCTTGACCACCAACTGCACTTTTTCCTTTAAAAAAAAAAGCTGGGCAAACTAAACTGGACATGGTGGCATACTTAATCTTAATCTTAGCACTTAGGAGGCAGAGGTTGGTGGATTTCTGTCAGATTGAGGCCAGCCTGGTCTACATAGTGAGTTCCAGGCCAACTGGAGCTACAGAGAGACCCTGTATACAAAACAAAACAAAACAAAACAAAACAAAACAAAAAAACCCCAGAAAACCAAAAATGAACTGAAAAAAGCTGGGCCTGGTAGCTTATACCTGCAATTCTAGCATTCAGGAGGCTGGGGCAAGAAGACTGTCTTGAGTTCAAGACCTACCTGGGCTACATAAGTAAATTCTAGGCAGGCCTGGGCTATAGAATGAAATGCTGTTTCAAAAAAAGAAGAGAAGAAGCAAAGGAAGAGGAAGAAGGGGAGGAAGAAGAAGAAAGACCAAAAAGAAAAGTCAGATGTGATGACACATACCTGTAATTCCCAAATCCCAATGCTTGGGAGGCAGAGGCAGGAGGAAACAAATAACAACCAAAAAACCAACAATGGAGCTGAAGAGATGGCTCAGTGGTTAAGAGTATGTCCTGCTCTTGCAGATGAGTTCAGTTCCCAGAACCCACATCAGAGGCTCACAACCACCTGTAACTCCAGCTCCATAGGATCCAACACCTTCTCATAGACTTAAGCCTCTGCACTCACACATGCACACACACCCCACCACATATGCATATAATTAATATGTGGGAAGTGGAGACAGGAGGAGCTCTGGGGTTTGCTGGTCACCAAACAGGCTCCAGGTTCAGAGAGATAACCTGTTTTAAGGGAATAAGAACAGAACACTCAATGCTCTTTTCTGGCCTATGCAAACACACACATGGTTGTGTATAGTCACTCACACATGTGCATATACCACACACACACACACACACACACACACACACGCACGCACATGCACATGTACACATAGACAAAGGGAGAAAAAACAATACCACCACCACCAAAACCCTATATTGAATCTCAGAAGACTAAAAAGCCCAAGGGCAGAATGAGGTGAAAGCTTTTCTCTCTCAGAGCCTGGCTCCAGCTAGTGTTTGTGGAAAGACCCCCCTCCCACCACCAAATGGACAGTGCCTGCTGTGTCTTTTCTGAGTCAGGACTGAGGCCTTGAGGTCTGGGTTTTCAGCGGTACATGACAACAGAATCACCTGGGCAGCTGAAGTTTGGCATCTGTATTTTTAACATCGTACCTTATGGCTTTTTTTGGGAGGGGGCATGTTCATGTGTGCAAAAGTGCATGCATATATGCATGTGCATATGGAGGCCAGAGATTGCCTCTAGTGTTGTTCCTCAGAAGTCATCCACCTTGTTTTTTGAGGTAGGGACTCTCATTAGGACCTGGTGTTCACCAATTAGGCTAGGTGGCTCACCAGTGAGCCCCAAACATCCTCCTGTCTCTGCCTCCCCAGTACTGGGATTAGAGACATGTGTCATCACATGCGGCTTTTTACATGGATGCTGGAGATTGAATTAAGGTCCTCATGCTTGCAAGGCAAGTGCTTTACTGAGCTATTGCCCCAGCCCCAATTTTACTTTACAGCTTCGAGGGTGATCATGACTGAAAATCAAGGGTCTCAGACAGGAGGAGTAACCTGCCCTTCTTAAGCATTTGTGGTTCCCCTTGAGGGAAATTTAATAGTTCTAGGGGGCCTCTCAAGGTTTAGAGGCTCATGGCCCTCTGTCCCCCTTGGTGCCC